CGAGCGTCACTGCAATCTTATTTTACGGTTACTGTAGTGAATAAATAGATCTTATAACTTACGTCAAGTTGTTCGTATGTCTCATTCTAATCAGATAAAAGAAATTCATTATAGCTCTTTTTCCCGAAATGCGCAACAAGAAGAAGAACAAAGCAGCTAATGCGCAGCATGTATCCCAACACAGCACATCCAGCATAAAGCAATTACGTCTACAGCGACGAAGAGAGAAGAGGATTAGAAAGAAGCAAAGAGAAGAAAAGGAAAAACTTGGAACCTCTCAAACCACTACTTCCAAAGAAGAATCATCTACAAATTTGGGAAAGTTGGATAGAAGAATCCTGCCGAAGGAACATTGGGAAAGCCCATATATTGACAATCGAGTGTACGTTCCGACTTTAGATGACTTCAGCGCTGATGCTAACAAACGAGGATCAATGTTGGATGAGGTTAGCAGCATTCCCCGTATGCGCTTTAGTCCAGAAATGAGCCCTTGCAGGTTGCCTTCCTTCCCGCTGAAGATCTTGCTAGTCTTCTTTGCGGCAGCCGTATATACTTGATGATCAGGAATTCCGCCGTTGGAATGGACATGCTGGATCTTTGCCGAGCTATGAAAGAAAGGCACAGCCGGCTCAACTTACAGTATATTTTTGTTTAATAAAAAGGAGTGGAAGACGAATAACAGATAAATTTCGGAGCTGTCGCGAACGAGCCTCTTGTTCGGATGTACTCTGCTCGCCTTCTCCTCTACGAGGATTGCGAGTAAGTTTTCCACACTTTCTTTTTTGCGTACTTTTCATATCCGGATGGTTAGTCATTAAATCATAAAAAGTCTTGACAGAATCACAAGCTTGCAAACATGAGACATAACTTCAAAAAAGTCTTTCACACTACCTTGAGTTATACTGAAAACTCGATATCTTTACGTTTGTGCCATCTATCCATTTAATGCTCCTGACTCTTATAATGATGGTGTTGCTTTTGAGAAAGTAGTAATTGAATCATGCAGTTGTAATTTCGATTTTTTATGAAAGATATAAAACGTCCATCAATTTCATCATTGAAAATTACTTCCCAGTTAACCAATAGATAATTTCTTATTTACATTGGTTAACTGAAAAGCGCGTTTCATGGAGGATCTGGAACATGTTGAACCTATAAGCTTTTTCCCAATGATAAAATCAAATTTTAGAAAACAAATCACATAAAATTTAGTTCTATTTGGAAAAAAAAGGTCAGAAAGCTCCTACATTCTTTTTTATAAATTCAAGGTAAGCACTCAGCAGCTGTGCGCATGAAAATTCGTTTCCCGAACAGGTCTCATCACCTTCCAGTAAGAATTACATTCGTACTTAATTTGCAAAAAATTTTGCAATTGGAAACAGAAAGCCCAGGGGTTGATAGGAAGTTCCTTGAAATCGTCAATTAGCTCATAGTTTTACTTGGCTTTCTACCAATTGGTTTAATCAACAGAGTTCTAAAGGAAGCCACATACCAGCTGATACCAGCACACATCCTTAATTCTACAGCAAAAACATTGCGATGTGGGTAATATTTTCGTTGTCCGGATGTCAATTAACACACTAGACCGCTTTTTTGAATAATCAGTCTCTTGAGAAAGAACACCGGCGGTGGATATAGTACTCACCCAGTGGTACGACTCATGCGGAGATCAATCACATTCTCACAAACCGAGGGTGGTGCTTATTGGACGTCTCAGTGTACCATCTTTCAGTAGTGGTTCAGATCACCGTCCCCTTCGAGCAAAAGTACGA